GGGCCTGAAGCATGTGCCAGTGTGTGTCATTACAACCCTGCCATTACCTAATGTGGGTGAAACTGCTCTGGTTAAACAGTGACTCACTCCAGAGGTTCATATGTCACAGAAACAGTAACTGCAGAAAAGACTGGGTGGGAGCATTATGGGGAACCCTCACCCCACCCCCAGACATCTGAAATATGCTAACTATCTTCGGTACAGGTAAAGCATGTGCCAGTGTGTGTCATTACAACCCTGCCATTACCTAATGTGGGTGAAACTGCTCTGGTTAAACAGTGACTCACTCCAGAGGTTCATATGTCACAGAAACAGTAACTGCAGAAAAGACTGGGTGGGAGCATTATGGGGAACCCTCACCCCACCCCCAGACATCTGAAATATGCTAACTATCTTCGGTACAGGTAGGGGGACAAGTACAGGACAGGAGGTTCGCAGCACACGGAAAACAGACATTAGCTGTAACCAGTGCATTTTTTGTGTTTTAAAAAAAAAAGGTGCCAGTACTCTTTAAGACCCAGCTGACGGTCAGCCATTTTCATTACAGAGGTGCCGGTACTCTCTGTTCTTTCCAGGTAAGCTCTGACTGGAGGTGCCAGTACCGCGTACTGGCCAGTACCATCACAAAAAAAGCACTAGATGTAACCCACACCCCAGAAAGGGATCAGGTCTCACCAGGTTAAACAAGCTTCAGAGAAGACTTAACTTCTAACAAGTGGGGGTTAGGAAGAACAGGGAAGGCTCATCTAAAGGGTCACTTACTGCAGAACAAATCACTTTAATAACATATGCTATTCACCTATGGAACTCCTTGCTGCAGGAGTATGGTGGATCAAGCACTAGGGCTGAACAGGTTAACAACTTTTGGAGCCAGCCTGGCTATAAGGGTAATTCAGGCTCTGGATACAGGGTGTAATCAGATGGAATTGCCTCATCCTAGACAGCATTATTAGGGTTTTATTTTCCTGTGATGCTACACTTAGGGGTAGGACCCGACACAATTCACAGAACATTTTGGTCAATTTCACAATCATAGGTGTTTAAACATTGTAAATGGAATGTTTTCAGCTATTTAAATCTGAAATGTTACAATGTTGTAATTGTCTGGGTCCTGACCCCAAAAAAGAGTTCAGGGGCAGGGATTATTGGAGGAAGCTGTGGTACTAATATCTGCTGCTGCTGGCCATGGCGCAGAGCAGCCGAGAATAGTGGCTGATGGCTGGGAGCACAGCTCTGAAAGGTGAGCTGCCACTGCAGAAGTAAGGGTGGCATGGTATGGTATTGCTACCCTTACTTCTGAGCTGTTGCTGACAGGTGCCTCCTTCAGAGTTGGGCACCTGGCCAACAGGCACTGCTCTCCAGTCACCCAGCTCTGAAGGCAGTGCAGAAGCAAGGCTGGCAATACCGCAGCCCTCCCCACCAGAACAACCTTATGACCCTTGTGCAGCTCCCTTTGGGGACAGGACTCCTAGTTTGAGAAACACTGATCTCCCCCCAAGAAATCTCTATCGTACAAGGTAAAAGTACACAAAAGACCCGATTTCGGGGGCTGTGATGTGTTTTTCGTGTCTGTGAATCTGGGAGGGCCCTATATATGGGTTACAGCGAGAGGGCAGAGACCTGATGGGCTTGTCCAATGATCTGAAATGGGGAAAGAAATCCTATTTTCCCAGGCCTGGAAGTGCAGCTAATCCAAATGCACAGTGGGGGTGAGGAAGCAGGCTGGAACTTGGATGCATGTGGGGCTGAGGGGCACTGAGTCCCTGGAGTCTGAAAGTGAAGAGGGAGTGGATTAATTTGCTGCTGTTGTGCAGGCTGAAATCCTGGGGCTGGGGAAGATCACCAGAGAGGCTTGTATCAAACATTTTTTAATAAGAACAATAAGAAGTGCACCGGCAACAGACAGACAGCTGGGCTGTTCCTTGCGGGTGGCTCTTTGGTACGGGGCGCCTGTGACAATCCAGAATGAGCAGGGCGAAGGCGTGAGCCAGAGGAAGACCCTGGCTCCCAGGGAGGGGCAGTGATGGTTGCAGGCTCTGGCCTCTAAACTCTCTAGAGCCCTGCTGGGCACCTGTAGCTCGGGTTTGCTTCAGCCCCTCTCCTTGGGGCAGCAGCCTCCCCACACATCTGAGCAGCTGCCTGCAGTGTGGCTGATGGTACTGGATGAGCCCAGTCAGCTAGGAGCTTCAGGGGCTGTGTGGGGAGCAGCGGCAGTGCAGGCTGCTAGGGCTCTTTCCCCTACCCCCAAAGGCCGGGTATGAGGTGCTCACATGGGTGCTCACAGAACCTGGGGCGACTGGGCAATGGGAGTGGATCCTGGCTCTCTCCAGACACAGCCTGGCAGCCTGTGGGCAAACAATGGGCATGCTGTACAGGCCGGCAGAATGAGCTCACCCCCCAGTCATTCCTGCGCCGGGCCGTGGCACAAAGTCCTCTCTGTGTGAGCGTGGCCGCAGGCGGCAGGGCCTGAGCAGCAGCTGCTTCCAAAGAGGCTGCGTTGCCCAGAGACACAAGGAGCACAGTGAGCAGCCCTACCCCACCCCTGAGAAAAGGACACTGGGAAGTGTGGTTGCAGGGGGGGAGGGAGGGGAGAGAAGGGAGAGTTTAGACCCCTCTAAATACTGTCTGCAGGATCCCATCCCTGGAAGGTCTGCACAGGCTAAGGCCATTTCAACTGCCTGGGCTGAACATTTTCACACAGAGAAACTGTTCGTGGTCTAAGGGGCGTAAGGGAGTGCTGGATTTTTGGGGGTGTTCCCTCTGGAGTATGGTGGAGGCTACAATGGGGGGCAAGGGCAGATGGACCCTGGCATCTCCCTCACTCTGCCTGATTACCGGCGTTGCTGCGCTGCCAATGCTAATGGCTTTCTTGTAACTCTTGTGCTATTTGCTGTTTCCCCTGAAGTCCCAGCGCCTGTTACTGCCTGCGCCTCCCGGCTTCATTACACAATAACAGGAAGTTTCTAGCTCTTCTGGTTGTGGGGAAAACTTGACGACAGTCCCCGTGTGCAGTTCAGCACCTGTGAGCCAATGCAAAGATCCCACCAGTTACAGCTTTGAAAAAAATTCAGGAATCTTGAGGCCGGGTTGAGGGCCATGGCATGGTTCCCCCACGCTGTGCTGCACCACACACTAGCACCAAGCCATTGTTGGCTGCGGCCCTTCCCTACGACCATCTTGCATTGCTGCTCTGAACACTTCCCTGAGGACAGTGTGGCAGGGACTTGGGGTAGGGGGATCTGATCGGGAGGAGGGGGAACCTCCCCTCCCAAAATCTCTAAAGTGGAGCAGCTGGCCTTGAAGCCAGCCACAGAGGCTCCAGCTCATGACACTGTTGGAAGGTGGGAGACACACCTGTTTGGCTCCCGGAGTACAGCTCTACATCAGCTTGAGGAAGAAGGGCAAGGAGACGGGTGATTTAATTCTGTGGGGTGCTAGAAGACTCCCCCTCAGGGGCTGGGCCTGCCCCACTCAGCTGGGAGGACTCCCCCTCTGCTGCTAGCTCCGTGGGCCCACTCAGCTGGGAGGACTCCCCCTCTACTGCAGCGAGAGGAACCAGATTGCTGTGTCCTAGGGTGGCTGGAACCCTGAGCTGGATTGCTAGGGCGGCCCTTGGCAGGAGGGAACCAGGAATTAGCTAGCCCAACAGCATGGCCACTGGGTGAAGGCCGCAGAAGCTGTGTGGCAGAACTAGGTTCAGTTCTTGGGAGAACGGCCAAGAGCACTCCAGGCCCAGGGAGGGGGCTGGGTTGCTCCAGCCCAGCATGGCCGCTGCAGGGAGCAAGCCTGCTCCCCCCGTCTCTAGCTCAGTGGGCAGGGGGACACAGCAGAGTGAGCCGTGCAGTTGGAGTGTTTTCGCCGATCTGCTCCTGTCCATTGTTTACTGCGGGCGCAGCAGCCTGCCAGGACTGTTCCGGTGCAGCCCTGCGTGGGTGCCTGGCACGGCGGGGAAGAGGGGAGGGGAAAGGACCATGCAATCATCAGCATTTCCCCATTTGTACAACCTGCCCTTTGGGGAAGGGAGGGCCTGCCCCAGGCGCTGGGCGGATCATAGAGTTGCTTCCCCTGCTTCCATCCCCACTAGCCCTTTGGATCAGTTCGCCTGTCTGCAGCTTACCCATCAGCCCCCAACAGCTGATGTCTCTCGGGGAAGGCTGGGGAGGTCCAAGACCATAGGAGACGGTGGCTGTTCAGACCTTCACTTCATCCTCCTCCTCCTCCTCATCGGCATACTCGAAGGAGTCGCTGCGGCCCTCCCCAGCCATGGCCTGTCCCTCCTGCACAGCTGAGAGTGCGGCCTCCTCTTCCTCCTCCTCCTCCTCCTCGCTGTGGCTCCACCCAGCCTCATCCGCCCGCCACGAGCCAACAGCAGGGATCTCCCAGGAGGCCTGAGTTCTTGCCTCCTGGGGCTCCTCCTCCTCCTCCTCTTCCAGGCTGCAGTGGGCACTTCTCCCCCCGTAGTGGCGAGCCAGGACCTGGGCAGCCCGGCTGAACTGTCCCGCCTCCATGCTGCAGTCATTCCAGTGCCCCTGCCACAGGGTGTCTTTCGGGAGCACCCCTGGTTCCTCAGCAGGTGTTGAGGCCCATCTAGGGCTCTGATGCCTGCCCCCAGAATAGGCCGGGTCCTCCTCAGCATACTCTGGGCCATGAGCATCTCCATTAGCATGCACCAAGTGTCCCACTGGGGAGTTGGCTCCCTGCCTGCAGCGGCCCCAGGGGCTTTCTGCCATGTCGCCCTGTATACACTGGTCGTGGGGTGTCCCCGATAAAAAAGCCACTCCCCATGCAGGGTGAGGGGTGATGCTGCCTGGCAACCGGCCAGGGCCTGCTCTTCCTCATGCTCCTTCCTCTTGCCAGTGCTGTCCATGGCGTTGGAGAAGCTCATGACCTGGAGGAGCTCGCTCATTAGGGAGGGCCCGAGGTCCAGGCGGAAGGAGAGCAGGGAGTCCGAGCGCTGCAGCTCCGCTTCGGCGGGCAAGGAGCTCTCGCGGGCCTTCTCCGAGCGCGGCACCCGCGGGATGGTGCAGAACCCGGACTCCAGCCCTGAAAGGACAAGGAGCCTCTGGTGAGAGGGAAGCCGCGGGCACTGCGCAGGAGCCAGTGACTGTATGTGAACAGGGACGGACAAGTCACACCCATGTCAGCCGGGCTCTATGAGGGCCTGTCACACTCCTATGGCCGTCTAGAACCAACTTCACCCTCTCGTGACCGCTCTGGACTGGGGAAGTCCAGGCTGTACTGGTGACAACTAGCACTAATTACACTCCATTAGACATTGCCTCCCTCCTACTTGAGATGGTGGGGACGGGGCCCATTGTTTAAGAACTGGACTCCCATAGCCCAGCCAATACAGACGATCAGAGCCCGGTGCTAGGACTGGTCTCCGCCAAGGAGGTGGTGGGCAATCCGCCCCGGGAGACGATTTCCCCTGGAATGGCCATACACACTGCGACCAGCAGGTGGCAGCATTGCACCATCCCGCCTTCCCTACCCCCTGGCCTCAGCTTCTATGCGTCCCTGGCGGAGGGCCAGCCTCTCCCCACGGGTCGCCCTGACCTGAGCATTAGTGCCTGGGGAAAGGCGGAGCTGGGCTGCCGCGCGCGTTGGGAGAACGTGGCCTTTGTGCTAAAGAACCCAGCCCCCAGCCCAGCCAGGGTGTCGCTTAGATGTAACAGGGGCTGAGGGGGCTGGGCGGGAAGCCAGGGCTGGGCGGGAATCCAGGGCTGGAACAGGGCAGCTGGGAGGGGCATGGGCAGGGGCACTGGATTAAAAGCGGGAGCTGCAGGGCCAGAAATAGTAACACCGCCACGCTCTTACGCAGCACATTTCATCAGCAGATGTCAACGCGTTTTACATCACCCCCAATTTGCAGATGGGGAAACCGAGGCATGGGGCAGGATAATGCTGCAGCTTACCCAGTAGGTCAGTGGCACAGCTGGGAATTGAGCTTAGGTAACCATTAGGCCACATTGCCTCTCCGTGGACTGTAGCAGCAGGGCTGGCTAACTGGAGGGGCGGGGAAGAGGGGCACCAGCTGCCTACTCCCTGGGAGCAATGAAGTTCACCTAAATCACCCCCACTCATTTATTCATGGTAGGATTGGGATGGCCCCTCTGTGGGAACCCCTGGAGCAAGCCCATGCTTCCCCTCCCACAAGATGGACTGGTCCCAGAGGGCCATGCCAGCTCTGTGACCCATTCGCACCCTGAGGCTGCCACAGGGGCAGGGAGTTTCCCTTGCAGTCTGTGAACAAGTTTCTCTTAGAGGAGGTGGGTCGAGACCTGCTCCCCCCCCCCCAGCTCCTAACTCATTTCCCACTGTACTGGAGCTGATGGGTCAGAGGCAAGAGACTCTATCCCACCCATAATGGGCTGAGCTCCCCAAGGCCTTTAGTAGATGAAGTAGAAGGGGAAATGAGTGTGGGGGAGAAACAACTGGGTAGTAGGGGCATATCTCTGAAAAGTATTATTCTGGGATTCATGTCCTTTTCATATGTGTTCCTTTTTTTTAATTGTATCCTTTGGTATATATGGCTGTGACTATTTTCTGAGGAAGTGGGTCTGGCCCACGAAAGTTCATCATCTAATAAACCATCTTGTTAGTCTTTAAAGTGCTACATTGTCCTGCATTTTGCTTCAGCTACCCCAGACTAACACGGCTACATTTCTATCACTATAGGGAATAGGAACTTCCTTGATCATACGCAGCTCTAGGTTGGAGAAACTGAGGCACAGAGCAGGGGCAGGGACTTGCCCGGGAGTCAGTGACACAGCCAGGAATAGCACTGCGAAGCTCCCCCACTCCACTCACCGTAAGCATAGTGTGTATCAGACATGTTGTTTGCAGTGCGCTTGAAGGCAAACTTCCCAGCCAGGCTGTCACCCCCATAGGTCCCTTCGTTAAGCTGTGGCAGCGACACAGCATTCTTGATGATGGGCGAGATGGCTGGGGGAGCAGGCGAGGCTTCAGCTTTGCCCCCACTGCCCCGGTTCCTCAAGGGTACCTTCCGCACATGCCGCAGGGTACGGGCAAAGAAGTTGTTGGCTTTGGCTGCCTCGGTGCCCCCGTGGTTGCTGAGGAAGGAGGTGTCCCCGAAGACATCCCCACCGCGCCCCACATGCATGGTGTGCCGGAAGTCCGCCAGCGGTGGGCTGATCATGTCCGGTGTCAGCTCCGATTTCAACCGGCGTTTGCTGTGGGAGCCTGACACCCAGCCGATCACCGGTAGCTTCCCAAGACTCATGTCACACCCCGTTGTTACTCCACGCCCTCTCCCCTAGAACACAAGAAACTGGCCTTCAGTGGCTTGTCACAGCCCCAGACGCCCCATCGTTCATGCTACCCCTTCCTTTTGGCCGTGTTGTGCCCGGGGCTGGAGATGCTCCCAAGACCAGCCCCTGCTCCCGATCTGTGGAGATGCCTTAGAGCTGCTGGTGGGGAGCGTGGACCTGTCTTTTCTCTGGTTCGGCGCTCCTGGATAATTGCTCTCCACAGCACTCATTAAACTTCCCAGGAAGGCTTTTCTGAGCCTGCTTTCCACCGGCAGCGTCTGCTATCAGATGAGGCCTCTGGATCCTCAGTTCTCTCTTCAGGAAAAGCCCCAAGGTGTGGGGGGTGGGAGCAGCCCCGCTTGGGCCTGGACAGATAGGACAGCAGAGCTGGTGTCTGGTGTCACCCTGGCTGCTGCTGCCCAGAGCTCTTGTGCGGCTGAAAGTAAGCAAATATGTGGATTAGTGTTAATCCGCTGTCCTCCGTCTTCCCTCTTTCCGCCCCCTCCGTCTGCTAGCGTGGGAGCCGGCTCGCAGATGAGGTAGCAGGTCACAGGAGCCGAAGGGGGATTTCAGGACAAATGCCTGAATCCTGAGGTAATACGGCTTAAAAACCACAACAGCAAAGGTGAAGGCTCAGGCTGAGGATCTTCCGACTGTTCTGGGCACAGAAGCAAGTTACTGGGTGCTCTGTGGGATTCCTGCCTGGAACACTGATGCCAAGGCACAAGGAAGGACGGGCCAGGTGAAATGAGAACGGGCCTGTGCCTGACTCATGGGGCAGCTAGAACAGGAAAGAAATATATTAATTATTATGATTTTAGGAAATCTGTGTGCTTTTCTATGGCATCTTCTCTCCAATCTTCACCGGTGCTACCATATTCAATATCTGCCCCCACGCTGCCCCATTCTGGAGACAGGGAAACTGAGGCACAGAGCAGCCATGTGACTAGTCCAAGGTCACCAAGCTAGTCAGTGGCAAAGTTGGGATTGGAAGCCTGTACCTAGCTATTATAGCAATAGGCGCGCTAGAAATAGCTAGACTGTGCCGGTAGGTCAGCCTGTCTGGGCTCCCGGTCACAGGTTAAGCCATGTTTTGCTTCTAGCTAACTCCCAGTCTCGCTTTCCAGGCCTGAATGGGCCAGGGCGGCTGCTCAGATCAGCGTTGCACTGCAGGGCGTTGCCATCCCAGAACCCCTCAGAGGCTGCTCCACTCCACTGAGCAGTCCTCTGCCGACACGTGTAAGCTCAGCCCTGAGGCCAGAGGCTAAAGCTACCTTGGTTCCTACACTGAAGGGCAGGATCAGGTTCCTGCAGTGGGATGAGTGGGAGGGCTTCTCTTCCATGGAGTGAGCCAGACAGGCTGCTGGCCAGGCTGGGGTCTGGAGGGCTCTTGGAGGGCCGGAGCGAGATTACCTGCAGCCCAGCCCCTGGGGTTCTGCCGGGCAGCTGGAGAGCCCGGATACTCACTGTGGCTGTGTGTTGATAGGGCTGGGGGCAGGGGAGGGAGGAGGAGGAGGAATGCCAGTCAAGTCTCCAGGAGGTCAGTGATAAACCCAGGCAATACCCCCTCAGTGGTGCTTCCAGTGCACCTTGGCTTGTCCCCAACAGAGCTGCCCTTTGGCCTGTCCTCAGCTGCACTCCCAGACCATTTCGGCCTCTCTCTGCTTCTCTCCCAGCCACATGCTCCTGTGCCGCTGCCCATGTCACCTTGGT